GGAGACTCATGTGGGACGAGGCTCTCCGCGGAAGGAAAATAAACGAGATTGCGGATTGCGCCAGGGTTGAGGCGGCCTCTCCGATGGGAGAAGTTGAAGCCAGCCAGGTTACTAATGCAGCCTTTTGGTCCCTCCTGCTGAGTTCATTGTGTTATTTTAGCCTCCTGCAAATCTGTCTAGACGTCAGAACCCAGGCCCGGGCAGCTGCTCAGAGTGGTGGCCTGGGGTGGGGAGTGGTAACGACCTGGGGGCTTCTGGGCCCGGGACTGGGGAGGGCTCCTGCCTCTCTGGCCTCAGGGCCCTCCTTCCCTCGCTCTCAAATGAGAAGTGAGGAAGGGAAGAGAGAGCTGGCTGGGCTTTGGAATGAAGCTACAATCCAACTATTTCCATTCCATTCAACAAAGCTTGTGTTGAGTGCTAACCATGGGCAAAGACTTCTGTATATTTTGGTGAAACCCCTCATTTTGCAGCCCGAGAGGGAAAGTGACTTGTACAGGCCACAAATAAGTGGCAGGGCTGGATGTGGAATCCAGACGTTTTGGTTCTAAGCACAGGCTCCGCTCATGGGAGTTTACAGATGAGGAAACGGAGGCCCAGACAGGGGATGGGACTTCCTCAGCCTCTACTTGTAGCAAGGGAAAGAAAATAATGAAAATCCTGCTAGTGTGTGTCAGAGGACAGAGAAGAGCTCCCACAGGTCCTCAACAGGGTCTCTTAGCTGCCCTGGTGAAGAAGGAGGGAAGGAAGGAAAAATGGAAGGAGGGAAAGAAGGAGGGAAGGAGGGAAGAATGGAAGGAGGGAAGAATGGAAGGAAGAAGGGAAAGAAGGAGGGAAGGAGGGAGGGAAGGAAGGAGGGAAGAAGGGAAGGAAGGAGGGAAGAATGGAAGGAGGGAAGAAGGGAGGACGGGAAACTCAGGGCCGGTGCTCCCTCCCCCCATTCCTCTGCCCTAAACTACAACACTCTTCAGATGAATTAGGCTCTGGGGCCTCAAGGATTCTGGCTTCTCCAAAGAGCTTTTGTAAGAGGAGGGGACTTACTTCCCTGGAGACTGAGAGAGAAACTGGACCAGAAAGGGGGAGGGGAGGGATGGATGAGGAAAACAAAACCGTCAGAGTCCAAGAGTGTGGAAATAGCCCCCAACCTTCTCCTGTGCCAACCATCGCCCAGTCTCCAGTCTGGGGCATCGGGGTGGAACAGTGACAAGCCAAGGGAAGTCCCTTCCTCCCCTCTGCTACCTCAGTACCAGATGCAGTGCAGTCTCAGCTAGGGTCAGGGGGCAAGAACAAATGCTGTCTGTCAGGCCAGCTGGCCAGAGAGTTCCCAATTAGACCTTGTTTCTCATCCTTAAGGCCCTGAGCCCCCAACCCGGCACCCCAGCCCAATTACTGCTGGACAGCATTAACCCCTTGGTGCCCCAGGCCGTTAATGGAATGTTAATTGGTCTAATGGGTTTCATGTCAACAAGTCCTAATGAGCTCCTTCCTAACGAGCTTGGTATTTTTTTCCTAAGCCTGTTTGTCAACACACTGTTGTGTGGGTTCCAGGCTGCGGGCCTCCCCATGCTCTTGGGCTACCCCCTCCTCCTTCCTAAAGGGATGTCCTTTCATGCCCCCACCCACCCCAACGTGTGCACACTGCCTCATTCGGCTCCTGAGCTCTGTAAAGGGCAAATGCTCCTTTTGATGATAATATCAGTAACGCAAATTATTTCTTCTTGGATATCTTTGTGGGGTTTGCATTTTGCATTAGGTTTGTTTCTTTCCCCCTCCTAGCTGTCATATAATAAAGGTTTTCAGCATTAAAAACAATCTTTTGACGTGAGCCTCTTCTCCATGGGAAATGTCTCTGGTAAATTGTTCCTCGTGTGTCCTCCATCTGCAGTCTTGGCTGTGCTCCCTCGAGTGCCCTGGTGTCTGGTAACAGCGCTGGGGCCTCTGGACAGGGCGGAGCAGCCTCTCCGAGCCGAGCCACTGACGAATGCTCAGACGCCCCGGCTGGGTTTCTGGAGCTCAGGCCTGCCGCTGGCCTCCCTACACCCAAAGACAGTGCAAAAAAGGGCAGGTTCTCCCAAAGGGCTGGGCACCTGGTAATTGCTCAGGGAGTTCTCCCTCCCCGCCCCCCCCCCCCCAGCTGTAGAATCTCCCACAAGAGAAGTCAGATCCCCACGTTCCTCTCCAGGATGCTTCCACATGGCCCCTCAGCTCCCCAAACCTAGCTAGTGGGGTTCCCCAAGGATGGGGGTGTGCGCGTGTGGCTGGAGTGGTGTGAAGAAAAGAGCCAGCTTCCAGAGATGGGCACGGGGTCCCGCCAGTGTCAAGTCACCAGAGGCTTCTGTGCCTGAGTGAGCAGAGAAGAGAACTTAAGCCCCTGATGAAAAGGCCTCCTGTTCTCTTGCAGGAGAAGCCCCCAGAGGGCAATGGGGCAGTAGCCTAGTGGCCTGTGGTGACCCCAGTGAGGGGGCGGGGGAGGGGCAAAGGCCATCTGGTCCTCAGAAAATTGTTCCTGTGTCCTCTGGCGAGGCAGGTCTAGCCCCTGCTCCACAGCCCAGCGGGCTCTGAAGAGAAAAATCTCTCAGCCTCGACGGTGGTTGTTTCTGGGTGCAGAGCGCTCTTAACCATTCCTCCTTACCCCGGGCAGGGCAATCCTGGTGCTGTTGCAAACATTTCTAGGGACAGCGACTCTAAAATGACTCTACCTCCCAGTCATTGGACAGTCAACAAAAGAATGCAGATTAAAGACTAATCTCTTTAGCCCAAATCCTTCTCAGTGAGCTTCCTTTTCTTTGCCTTCACTATGACTTTCTCATCTGTAGAATGAGGTTACCAGAACACCCAAACCCGAGGTTAAAGGGAACCAGTTGCCCCTAAGAGGAGAGAAAAGCGGCCCAGAGGGAGCTCCCAGCCCAGACTCTGCCCCCCAGCTCCCTCTTCTGGAGGCTGCTGGCACTGCAGTGTCACAGCGGCTCGCTTTTCTCTAGCCAAGGAGCCTCTAAGATCGGTGCTCCAGGGAAGGGGTCCTGATGGCAGGTCCGTAGGCCCCCACCAAAGTTACCTCACCTACCAGAGTTCCAGGAAAGGCTGAACCTAACACACTCCTGAAATATCCCTATTTCCTTTATTCCCTCAGGGTCCAAAAGAGAGATTCCACACTCATTTTAATATCTCCAAGGGCTTAATTCTGGAATCTTCTTTCTGATGTCTCAAAGAGTCTGTATCCTCTTTTTTTCTCTGGAACCCTCTTTGGTCTGCTCTTGCCTTCTTTGGATGTTTACTGCCACCCAGACAAACCCAGCCATGGAAATAGGCATTGGTCCCCTTCCTAAAAAGACTGGCTCCCTTCTGAGCCTCTCTGCAAAAGTAAAGGCTGGATCTTGGTGTCTAGCGTGTGGGGGACAGGGAGACCCTGAGTGACTTTGTCACAAAGACATCCTGGTGGCCCATCTTCCCCCAGCATAGTTTTTTGCATGTAGTTGATACTTGATAAACGTTCGTTGACTGAACACCTGAATTTCCAGTGGTCTCACATGTGCACTTAAGGTCAAAGCAGACCTGGGACTTCGGACACTCAGGTCAGGCCAGAGGTTCTATTTCTTCCTCTTCTTGAAAAAAAACTGAAACAACAACACACACATACACACCCACACCCTCATAGGGCCCCGGAGACCAGCCTCTTTCCTTAGGCAGCTCCAAATTCCCACAGAATTCAGGGCTGTGAACATTTTGGAGGACCCTAGGGAGGAGACGGGAGGGCATGAGGGGAAGAGAATGAAGCCTGAGAGCACCCTCAGGGAAAGGGGAGGGAGGGTCTGAGTGCTGTGCTCACAGGCGCCCTCCACAGGAGCAGGAGAGTTCCTGCACTCCACAGAGGTCCCTGGGCAGCTCAATGTCCCCAGTGGACAGGCCTGCACGGGGCAACTAGCCCATGGTTTCCAGCTCTAAATATTTCAGGACATTTTCTGTAACTAAACAGCTCTGGGCATTCTGTTTCCTTGGGTGGCACTGCCAGGTTGTCTCCACTTACTGCACCATGTTCTGGCTCAAGAAGAAAACTTGAGGGCCAGTGGGAGCAGCTCGCTTCCAGGTGATGGGGTAGGGGTGGTACAGTGGAGCAGACCAGGAACTGGGGATTGGAGATTGTGGTCTAATCCTTGCTTCACTATCGCTCCCCTACACATATGCACATCACTCCTCTTGGCCTCTGTCACCTCCTCTGTAAGAGGGGGGTGGACCATTCACCTATGACAGCTCTTCTGGACCCACATGCCTGTGACCTGTATTGAATGAAGGCTAAGGGAAGTCTTCTTCAAAGAATGTGCAGGCGCCTCCGTATGCCCGTAGTAACAAGCACACACCTAGAAAGGGCTCACTCAGGCTCTCGGATGTTTCCCTGCCTTTTCCCTTCCGGGAAGATCTCCAAGTAGTCACCTGTGGGCTGCTTACCCCACACCCTGAGGAGGTGGACCAGCCCCCCACCTCCCTTTCCACTGCTAGGGGGTGTGGTAAGCTCACCGGGGAGGGCTTAGTCTGGAGTGTGGAGACCCTGAGGCCAGAGAGGTGGGAACTGGAACTGGAAAGGCGTAAAGTCTTCTGCCCTGAGAGTGTAGGTGGCTGTTCTAGAAGGCCTGGGAAAGGGAAAGCACCCTTGTCTTGTGGGGTGTCCACAAGATGGCCTCCAGTCCCCCTGTGCTGCCACCAGCCAAGGCCCCTCCCAACCTCCCCGCTGCCAGGCTGGAGCTGATGCTGAACAAAGTGTGGCTGGAGTGGACAGGTTGTTTTACCTATGATTTGAATCTTGTTCTTTGAAGTCAAAATAGCACAGCGTGCCCCTCCCCACCCAGGCCTCTCCTCTCGGCTCTCACGAGTTCCCCTGAAGGGCCTCGAGCCCTTGCTGTATCCAGTTAGTCCAGGTGGCCCAGCCTGAGAACATGTCCAGCCGGCTGGTCCCCAGGGCTCCCTGCGCTCAGCGTATTAACGGTGCGGCCCCCTTTCTCCTGCCACAGATCCTCGATGTGAATCAATCCCATGATGCAACATGCCTCCCCAGCCCCCGCTCTGACGATGATGGCCACGCAGAATGTCCCTCCCCCACCCTACCAGGACAGCCCGCAGGTGAGTGCCGACTGACCAGCCTGGGAAGGGGGTGCGGTGGCCTTCCCTGGGGCGGAGGGCAGGGCTAGGCCTCCCTCAGCTGTGTCCTGGCTTTCTCTGGGCTCTTCCCCTGTTGGGCCTGGGGATGCCTCTCTGGAAAGAGCCCAGAAAACACAGAACCCCCAGAGGGAGTCATTGCATTTGACAAAACACCAGGTTCAGACCCTGTGTGGGTCACTCTGTTGCCAGCACCTCACACTGTTGCCTAGAGCACCTAGTCATGGTCCTGTTCACAGTCAGAGCAGACGTCAGACAAACGTCCTGCCCATGCCCTTGCTCGGGGAGACCCAGGCACAGGTAAATCGAGGCTGCCTTTGATTGTTTTGGGAAACTTCTTAATTAGAGGTTCCTTTGTACCGACCCCCCTATTCACTGGTCACTGCACCATTACATCCGGTCCTTCTCTCCCTGCCTATTGGAGGAATCTCCAGTCTCTTCAGGGCTCTTCTCTGCTTCTCTCCAGAAAAAGGCCAGGACCCTTTCTCTACACCTTCCAACCCTTTCCCTCTGGGTCCCAGTTTCCGTCCCTCAGCTCAGACACAGCAGCCCCCCCCCACCAAGTTCTTCTGAGACTCCCACCTGGTTGCAACTCCTGCAGAAGGCACTGGCTTCCCCCTGTCTCCCTATTATCTCTTCTCCTCCTCCTGGAGGCCTGGCCCAGCTTTTGTGGGTTGGGCTCCCACAGTCCTTGAGGTGATCACTTCTGCTCTTCGCTTCCCCCGTGTGGGCCTCCCCTCCACACTAGGGTCTTTTGAGTTAGTTATGTGGCTGTGCTTTCTCAGAAGGTTTCATTCTCCGGCTTTACCTTCACACACTCTTTTTTTCTCTACCCTGGTCTCCCAAGTCAATATTCATTCAATAATTATTTATTGAGCAACTATAATGTGAAATGCAGCCGGCTGAAATATTCATTCATGTAACGGTGTGCAGTGAGCGCCCCCGTGTGCCCGGCAGCCATCCTCAGTTTCTTCGGCAGCCTTCTCTGACGTGCCCTGCTCTCCCTGGCTCGTCAGCCTTTCAAATGCAGCCCTTCTCACCCACCACATGGAAGATTTATGCAGCATGACAGGGATATTAGGATGCAGGTGCGGGGTGGGCAGACTTTTGTTCACCTTAGGTCCCGTGGCCCTGACACCCCCAGCCTAGTGGGAGCATAGCAGCTCTCTCTGTCCTTATCCCTCCATGGAATTCACTCTTCACAGAGTATCTGGCATGCGGGCCACCACTGACTTCTCTCCCCTGAAAGTCCAGCAGCTCTGGTCATTCACTGACCTTTGAGCACGTGTCCGTTTGTTCCCCCCTCCTGCTCTCACAGACCAACTCCATGCTCCCTCCTAGTCTCTCCCCAACCCAACCTCGTTATTTGGCAAACCCTCTGCCCACGTCAGTAGCTCCATGAATGACCAGGGTTGGGGCTTGGTGTTTATATAGGTCCTCTATTTGAAAGCTTCCAGGTGTCCAACACTATGTCAAGGCCCTTCCCTCTATAGTCCCAGGTCCCAGAGATGAAGTACAGACAGAGGCAGGGACTGGTGGAAACCTAGGAACCCAGGGGCCATAATGGGGGCAAGCATTGTCCTTCCTCAGTAGACACAGACCCATTTCCTTGTCTGCTCAGGCAGTGTCAGGGACCCCTGGGGTATTAATTAAGAGGCAGGAACTTTAGCTCCATTTCTTTTGTAGCTGGAGACTGCTCTTCAAGCTCCACAGTAGGAATAGGGAACGCACATGGGGACGCTTCCTGTATTTAGCAGGTGGTACGTGCGGAGGCCCACACCCTCATACCCAAGGCTCAGGGACAGACTCAGGGTAAGGCCAAGAGGTCAGAGAGCACAGCTGGTGGCTGCCGCCTCCCTCCCTCCCACTCGCCCCGTTTTGCCTGCCTGGGCAGCTGGGAGAAGTTTGGGTTTGGTGGGGATTAGCAGGAGAGCTGCAGTGAGGGCCTGTGTTGTCCAAGAATGCAGATCCGGGTGTAGTTAAGTAGAGGAGCCTAATTTAAGTCTCAGCACACAACTGAGAATTAATACATCCCAGCTGCTGAGGAAGGTGATGGCGATGGGGCTGCAGCCCTAAGGCGCTCAGCCCCCCGGAAGCCACCACTGAGCTGCTCTAGCATCTAGGGGGAGGAAGGGAGGCTCCAGTTCCCCGTCTAGGGCCTGGGAGCAGAAGCCTGACACAGGGACTATCCCAAGGCTCTCCTCTCTGAGGAGCCACCAGGACTTCACCAATGAAAATACTCACATTTACAGCAAAGGAATAATTTGTCCTGGAGAAGCTACACGTCTCTTTGTTGCCCCAGAGGTCCAGGAATGAAGTGTCTGAGAGGAAGTCTCAGTGTCCACAGTAAAGTGACCAGGCCAAGGTCTAGGGTATTTATGGCCTTGGCTAGGCCACTAGGCCATGGCTAGATTGCCATGGGCCTTCCCTGAGCCCAGCTGGTTCCCAGGGAAACTGACCAGGATGGGAGCTCATGGGGAGGAGTTAGGGCAGGGATGGAATGGGTGGGATGGAGAAGGTCGGGGAGGTCCCCAGAACAAAGAGCTCTGACTCCTGGGGAGAAGCTCTTCTCTACAGAGAGGGCGAGACTTTGAGGCCAGGTGGCTCTCGGGGAGGCCCTTTTCCCCACTCTTTGAGGCTCCTAGAAGTGGCTCCCGCCTTGGAATGACTCTTCCGTGTGAGTTTTCTGCTGGGGAACTTGCTATGGACCTCCTGTCTTCTTCACTTTATGCTTTCAAGAGGCTGAGCCCAGGTCCTCAGAGGATGCCCTGCTCCATTGCCCTCATCATGCTCATTATCCTAGAGAGCCAGCTCCTCTCTGACACTCAGTGTCCTCAGGAAAGCCCGGCCTAAAAGGAACGTGGGTCAGGCACACAGGGGAATCACTTCCTAAATGGGGCTCTCTGGAAAGGATTCCCCACTTTCACCTCGTTCCCTCAGGTCTAATCTCATTACTTTTGGACCTGGTGCGACTTGTTTCCTCAAGGCCTGGACAGCTGAGCACATCTCCATATCACCTCTTCAGAAACCCAGTTTCTTCCGCAGGCAAAAATGGACAGTCTGTGATACGAAGTCCCCCAAATGAGAAAGAAAGCGAGCAGCAGAGCCCTTCCTCTGAGACCTGTGCAGTCGTTTTAATAATGTTCCCGTTGTGCTAAGGGCTAGCAATACTGAGCATAATCTATTCAAATGCACAGGAGAATCTCACTTTGGAAAATTAGGAATCTGCATTAAAAAATTCCCAAGCCCCGGACCTTCTTTATAATAAATTAGAATTTTTTTTTTCAAGGCAAGTTCTTAAGTTGGCAATTTCATTTTTGAAGTTTGGGGAATAAAGTTATTAAAAATGAGGGAGGCTTTTTTTAATTCCCATTTTAGTAGAGAAGCGCTAATGGTTATGGCCCCATGCTATTTGGGCACAAGCCAAGTGGTATGATGGCCAAGCAGCTTCTGGCCCCTCGGTTCTGTTTCAACCCATCCTGGGGAAACTCCATGATTACTTGTAAGGATGTCACTCTGTGTTTATTGTGCACTAAAGATAGACCGTACGTTTAGAAAGTGCAAAAGCAACAACCCTCTGAAACCCTTCTTGTGGCCTGCTTCCTCCTTCTGGTGGCTTCCTGTTAAATTCTGTCAGGGTCGCAGCACCCTCTGCTGTCTAACTACAGTACCTCAACTCCAGCCTGCCATAGCTGAGCCTTTGATCCAGACCCTCAGTTTATGCCCTGAGAGGGAGGGGCAAGTCACTGGGATCGTGGATCTGCAATGATTGTTTAATGAAAACATTGTCTCCAGGGAGACCTGGATATGAACGAGGTGTGTGGTCCCTCCGTTCAATAGAGTATGTGAATTCCTATAGCACCCTCCTTCCATTCTTCTACATCTCTGCCACAGCCTGGCCATCTGTCACTGGACTTTCACAACCCCCCGCCTCATTGCCCCCACGCCCCCACTGATCCTAATGGAACTCTTGAATATGTTCTCTACTACATGTGTCACTCCAGTGTCTCTCCCAGAATTTTTGTGGTGACACAAGCGCCTTCTCACTCCTTGTAGGCATATACCCTTCATTCGTGTACTCTCTCTTCACCTCTGAAGTGTCACTCATGTCCGCCCATTTCCTGTAACACTCCATAAGCAACATCACCCACCAAGCCAAGTTCTCCCTTCTGTAGCTCCACCAGCAATTTCAGGAAACCATCCGGACTTTCTAGTGAAGCACCAGCTTCTCCACCCTCACCTTACTCACACACAAAAGCTCCTGCTATCAGCTGCCTCCCCCCACTCTTCTCAAACCTACACACATACCTACTGTTCCACAAATATCTTTGCCCTTGGCTTATAGACAAGACAAATATTTTATCTGGTCTATTTGTGCATGAATTCAATGTTTAGTATTCCTCCGTCTGCGTGTGCCCAGCATGTCGAGCTGCATGTGCATTTGTCTAGAAAGCAGAAATCCCAGTGGCTCCTAGTCCGACCCACTAGGCACAGCCCTCTGTGAATGCAGGCACTCAGTTAACAGTTTAGATTAGGAACAAATTGATAGGTAAATAGTGAGGTGCCTATGTAGGATGACTTGATGATGGGTGATATTAGAAGGGTTTTGGCAATTCACCAAGGATGCATCCTCATTACTGACCAGAGGGAGGGGAGACAGGCAAAGTAGAACCCAGTATGGGTGGCTCAGACTTCAGAAGGAAGTCAAGCATTTGCTTGGGACGTTTTGGCAAAAGCTGTGTTCCTCCATCTTCCCACAATCCTCAGAGTCAGAAGAATAGTGTCCAAGACTCCAGGAAACTACCTGGAGATCTGGGGTCAAGATGATGCTATCTCTCCCATCCCACAACAGGAAGGCTAAGGCTGGGCCAGCCATGTTGGGGGAGGCTAGACCCATCTCTCTTCCCCTCTTCTCCTCTGAGGACCTTCTCTCCCTCCCTGTCCTAGCGCCATTCCCACTCTGG